TGTGATGTCTGAGGCGCGAGTCAGGTCCCTGTTCTTTCTGAGTGTATGTGTCCCAGATGGTGGGTTCTCTTATGTGCTTGTGTTGAATTCTCAGTAACTGAGGACTCTGAGCACTTTGGGTGTATATCCTAGAATGCGTATCTCTCTGCTCTTTTTGGATGCTTGTTAGCGTAGGAGGTGTCAGTGATTTGGAAGACCTCTGAGCTCTCTGTGTGTGTGTCTTTGGAGATTGCGTAGCAGCACTGCAAGGATGTCCACATCCTGGTCCCTGGGACCTGTGATCATGCTAACTTGCAGTTTTGATTAAGCTAAGCACCCTAAGACAGTGAAGTGACCCCGGATGACCTGGGTGGGCCCAATGTATTCACAAGTGTCCTTATCCAAAGGAGACAGAGGTGAGTCAGAGCAGGCGATATAGTGAATGGAAGCAGTGTGAGAAAAGAGGACATGACAACATAAGCAGAGATGGAGGACGCAAAGGAGGAGCGATGAAGGCAGAATGCTGCTGACATTAAAGATGGAGAAAGGCAGTGTGCTGGGAATGTGGGCCTTGTATAGAAACTGGATTCTCCCCAGGGAACTTCAGTTCTGCCAACACCTTGACATTAAAAAAATTCTTGAAGCTGGGCAGAGTGGTGCACACCTGTAACCCCAGCACTTGGGAGGCTGAGGCAGGAGGATCGCCATGAGTCTGAGGCCAGCCTGGACTGCATAGTGAGTTCAAGGCCAGCCTGAACTACATAGTGAGGCTCTGTCTCAAAAAACCAAAAACAAAGAAAAAATTCTTTTGTGGCTTTAATGTTTATCTTCAGGTCATTTATACATAAGATAATGCAACATATTCTGTTCTCAGACTTACTGTTTTTTTTGGGGGTTGAAGAGGTTGGGGTCTCACTGTGCTTGCTGGGCTGGTCCTGAACTATTAGACTTAAGTAATTCTCCTGGAACTATGGGTATGCACCACCGAGCCTGGCCAGCACCTCAGCTTTGACACTACAAAATTCCTTGTTGATCCTCTGATATGTGGAAATATAAGATAATAAATGTGTTTTGTTTTATGACAAAAATATATTGATGTTTTTTTCTGCAGTAGTACAGAAGCAGTATGATACCACCAACTGTGGAGGCCGTGTCCAGCGCCAGTGCGCATCCCAGCATTGAGAACTCTGTGAGCTGTCTGTGAATGTCTGACAGCAGAGCTCTCTCATCTCTGTGCTGGTGTATGAAGCAGCACAGGGGCTTTCTGAGCTCTTGTGGGTCTCTTTGTTGCACATGTCAGGTCTAGGATCACTTTTTGGTTGTTTTCCTGGACTCTGAGGTTTCTCACTTGATTGTGGTTGTGTGTTGTGGAATTTGAGGTCTCTGATCTATGTGTGAGTGTGTGTGTGTGTGTGTGTGTGTGTGTTACAGGGGGTGAGGTCCCTGATCTTCCCGTTATGTATGTCCAGGATGTGAGGTCTCTAGTTGTGTAGTTGTGTGTGTCCAGGATGTGAAGTCCCTGCACAGCTTATTGTATGTCCAGGATGAAGGTCTCTGTTTGGTTGTGTCTGTCCCATAATTTGAGATCTCAGAATTATTTGATGCTTAGCATCTAGCACATTAATTTTCTGAACTAGACATTGAGGTCAATACCCTAAGTCTCAGAAGGATGTCTGGGCGCTGAACTCAAGGGCTCTGAGTAGTTTCTGGTTTGCATTCCTGGTGGTGAGTTCACTCAGCTGTTTGGGTGATTGTGTTTACGTTGTGGGGTCACTGAGATGTTTGACCGCTGGTGTCCTTGGATGTGTGGCCACTGAGCTCTTTGGTTCTGGAGCTCCTTGCCTTTTTATGTTCAGGTGGGAAGACCTTTCTTTTGGGAGGTCTAAGTCCCAGGGCGTGATACCTGACTCATTAGGGGTTTTGTCCAAGGTCAAGGGCCCTGTTAGGGAGTCTTCTGGGTGGTGTGCAGGCCTGTGCTGCATTTGGTATGTGAAGTCTCTTCACTGTGTGGCCTCTGCGCAGGATTTTTTTTTTTTTTTTTTTTACTGGGGATGGAAT